ACGACTCAATAAAATTAATGTGCCTTTAGTTGGTTTGATTATTATACGCAATACAACTAATATCTTTGCACATAGCTTCATTACCTAACTGATTTCACATTTTCGTTACAGAATAAACTGACGGTGATTCATCCCTAGTTTTGCCACTGTGCATCCCTCACTGCGCATAACAAGATGGCCACCGTGAAAAAGAGCTTTTGCGGAAACATGATTAAAATGATGTTGATCAAAGACACACGTTATTAGATTTTTCCAGAGCAGTTTTTTTTCTGGCTAAGATGATTCTCAAAGTGTTAGAAATGTGCCTTACGTAGGCAATAAGCGTGTTGCTGAGTTAAACATCAGCTATTTCGATCCCCACCGAGGCCTTCGATAGTGGATGTTGTGCTGAACCACGTTTAAGCTTCAACTTTATCACATCATGTCCTAACTGCTTTACCTGCATCTAAATTCCATAAAATCGAATTTTTCAAGCTTTCTTCCACCTTCCACGTACATGCCACTTTGAAACTCATCCCAACTGCAAGAAATACAAGTGGTGCGCACTATCTGCAGCAGCTCTGCCGCAAAAATAAGCACGGTGACCCTTATTTTTCTTCATTATTTTAATAATAACAGTGCTTCCTTTCAATAGCAATTCTATGACCAGCGGAGAAGGAAGCTGTATCATACACTGTTAGGGCATGGAAGACAAGGACAAACGTCGAGTTAGATGGACCAAAGGCGGCTTTGGAAAGAGTGTGGGTAGGATATTTCCTGTCCCATAGGACACTCAAAATTCCTTCAAGTATAAATAAGCCTGTTTCAGGCTCCAAGACAGTGGGAAAATGGAGCAAAGAAAGGGCGAAATTTTGAATCATGGTTGACTAGTGAACATTTTCTACTGCATCAGCTACATGGACTATCATTTGCTTTTTTCCTGTGCAAACAGACGCCTTTTTGGCCGCTATGTTTGATCCTGTGGATTAGTTACAGGAATTTTTCTTAACGTCATGCGATGCGGTTTCGTCCTCTCGAACGTATCGCGATGAAATCTTTGCCACATAGCAAATGACTTGATAATATGGAACACTTGTGACCAGTCAATTGCTTGAGGCAGCGACCTGTTTCCTTCGTCTTCAAATTAACCTTTTTCTTACTTCATTTTCTTAAACCGACAGTTTTCTCTTTTATATAACTAGAATGTTTTTTTTTTTTGTAGCTAAACCTAGTCGCATGCATATTTAGAATGAGATAGCACAAACTCTTACCCTTGGAACAAGCTCAACCAAGACAAAAGAGAGAAAAAACATGTGCAGATAAATTTCAAAATGTGGCCTGCCTTTACATACAGGGTATATGAAGAGAAGAAAATAACAATCACAATTTGCATCACGGTTCCAGTCCAACCGAGAGGAGACTAATGCAAATGGCGGAACAAAATGGCGGCAAATTTCGAAGACTTAAAAAAGATAATAAATATTCGGTTTTTGTCGGAATCGAAAAATTCCTTTTGGGGAAAGTCATTGCTTGATGTGTAGATTTGGAAGAGAAAATAAAAAAAAATTCATTATGGGCACTTAATTTACATCTAAAAAAAGAGCACGATAAATAACTTCACGGGTCTAAAAATTTCATTCTCTGCTAACTAGCTGAAATTAGAAAATTAAGCTTGGCACTATATCAGGAAATGACAAGCCTGGGAATGTAGATATTCCTACAAAGTTTGCCGCTTGTACCAAAAATCGCATGATTTTCTAGCTAAGCCACCAGACTATCTTGGAAATGAGGCCAATGTAATTTTGTATGGTAAATATTTATCAAACTTATTCCCAGGCTACTCTCTCACTTTCTTAGAAGCCTGGAAACTAGGTAATATCAATTTCTGATGATGTCACCTATATTACAATGTAGGATAATTTCAGTGTCATATAAGCCTTTGCGTCTTGAATACATGCATATTTTTGTTTTTGTAATTTTTGGCTATTATAGTCGGAAATGCTTAATTTTTTCGTATAAGGAGTCGCCATGAGAATACCTTCGTCACATTTGCGTTATATGTTTGTCAAATGCGAGGAACATCACACAAGTCAACGGTTGGGGGTTCGTTTAGCAGACTCATGGACTTGACTGTTGCAAGTTTTTGCCGAAAAAATCGATGATGATTTTCGGCCAAAAATATAAAGTAGAAATTGTCAGTTGCAGCGGTTTGTTTGCTTTGAATTCATAATTATAAAATCAACCATTTAGTGCTATTGATAAATGTCCAAAAGGTTGTAACTAAAGTAAGACAAAAAGCAAATAGTTAAAACATGTATAGTATTTTTCACGTATATATGGGGTGTTAGGCTTTTAAGGGTTAATTTACAATCTAAAGTCGAGCTAGTCTGCAGTCTGCAAATGTCATACACCGGTTTGTTGGCCCTGAGTAGGCAAGTGAAATTAGCCTCAGTGGTCCTTTGAGTCTCTCTGAAAGTGTCAGCTTGATAAATGATAATTTCCAAACAAAAATTATTTTGAAAATGAGGACTGCAAGATGAGTGACACAATAATAGTTGAAAGCATGAATCAATAAATCAATGTAAGTGCATGTACGCGTTTGCTTGCTTGTGTTACTCTTCAGTCACCATATTGGTGAAATCCAGCAGTTAGTCTGCACAGCATTTACACGCTTTGTTATGTTTTTAACGACTAATTCTATGCTGATTCTAATTGTGTAATTTGCAAAAGGCATAGTCCAGCAGATGTGGAAATGTGCATGTGCTAGTGTTAAAATATGAGACAAGGTGCAAGTGTTAAATAAAATTAATAAATACATAAATAAATAATAATAATAACTACTAGTTTTTTAAAATGCTTTAAAACTTTGACAATTTTATACGTGGAAGACTGTCAGACCACAACCAGAAAACATTTGTCAAACAATATCTTCCCATATCATGTCTTAGGTAATGACATCATCAGTCATGTGACTATTTCCAAATTAGGTTCTATTGTTGCTGTGACAAGATTTCATTAACGAGTTAAAAACAAATAGCATCTTTGAGGTTTTAGTTGTGTGGGGCATTTAAAGAAAACCAGTTGACGTCCAGCAT